CTTCCTGACTGAACCCAGCACAGGTTTCATGGACTTCCTCTTAAAATATTAAAAATAATGGACTTCCTATTATAAAGTAAACTGAGGTGGGTTGTGGGAAGGGAAATCTAACCTGTACTTTGAGGGCTAAAATTTTTCGTGTTCTCTACTTCATAGCTACAGTTGTGTCAGTGTTTAGTGTCTAGGTCAATGTTTATAAAAAAGGTAAACCACTTTGACAGTGTTTATCCACTCGGTAAATGTGCATCTGATGCCTTTTTAACTACAGTATACTTGTTTTCCTTTCAATTTAAGCTGTAATAGAACAATGTAGGAAGAATACATAGATGTAAGAATTTGTACTAAGCAACATTAAAATAGCATCTATTAAGCTTAAATGCAATACTAATAAGAAAAAATGAATTGCAACTTTTAATATGTGACCTTGTTTTTTTGTGTAGCTTCTGAACATTTATCTTACCTGTGAATGCAACATCTCATCCTATTCTTCAAATATTGACAATATGAAAACGAATTGAGCTATAGTATATACAGTGTACCTTTCAGTTTTCAGTTTAGTTTGACACATGCTACTTAGGTAATTGTTATCCATGTGATAGATACAAAGAGACCAAAATGAAATCACAGGTATTTTTCATGGTAACAGTTAATGTCAATGCAGAGTCTAGAAGCCCAAGTTGAGAATGATTTTAAAATTTGTTGTTGCACTTAGTTTAAATTTGAAGACGTGCATTCAACTGAGAGCTTGGTTAAATATAAAAGCTAATGTATTTACTTTTTTGATTTTTTTTTTAATTTACATGCTTAGAATTCAGTTTCACATTAGTTTTAAGAACATGTTATTTTGCTTTCTTTGCTTTTTATAGCATTAACCTGTATATTCTTCAATATACAAAAAGAGAATTGTAATGTTTTAAGAAAAGGAGATAGGAAAAAAAAGTTAACAGCAGGTTTCCAAGAATTTCAACAGGCAACTTTTTTAGTCAGATATTCATAATGACTAGCAATTATAGTTTGGGGTTTTTCTGTAAAATAAATTTGGCTTATCATAAAGCAACTGAGAACCTAATGGTAATAGTTTAGTGCTAGACTTTTGTACAAGAAATATGAGCTTTGCATTCTGTTCAGTCTAAGGGTTTTTGAATATAGTCTTCTCATCATTCAGGTGGCTATAGTGAGAAGGTGCATGAACTGCCTGTCTTTAGCAAAATTTAGTTTGCTTAAAATACAAATAGTAGAATAGATAATATATAAATTGTACCAATCAATATATTTCTGTGAGATAGTTTTAATTGTTTAATAAGTTGATTCTTGAAATGAGAATTGCTTGTCCCATGTATGGTACTCTATCCGTACTTTGAAGATCAGATCTGTGTGTCTCACATGTTTGTGAAAATGGTATGTTACTTTGTACTGACATGTTTTTATTTTAAAGCTCTTTTCCATCACGGAAGCCTTGCAGCAAGCTTACAAAGTTTAAAACTAGTTGATGATGAAGTGCAGCCGTGCTTTTTAACAGTTTGCAGCTAGAAACAGATTAAAAAGTGCAAGATAAAGGTTTAAATGACTTGCGAACTAGGCATGAGGAAAGATGTAAAAGCATCAGTTCATTCTTCAGGTAAAATATATGTTGGGTTTTTTTTGTTTTTAAACCTATATAAATATTTGATTCTTCTCTGCAATTCCAGGGCAGCTGAAATCCTCTACTCCTTGGCTTTGGTACAGTCAAGTAAATCTGAGAAGACGAGGGTGTTTCCTTCAGTGGATAACTACAAATTGCTGACAGAAGCTAGAAGGAACCTTGGACTGTTTCAGCATCATGATGCTATTACAGGAACATCCAAAGATTGGGTAGTTGTGGATTATGGCACTAGGTAATTTCTTATAAACAGTACGAACTTAAATCTTAATTTTCCTCTGCTTTTTTCAAACAGTATCTCTCTTTAGAGATACAAATTTGCTATAGCTAGCAACATACTCAGTACTGAAAATGTAGTGGTGCGGTACAAGAGAAGTGGATTTGATTACCTGTGCTCTTCTGATTTATGAAACATTTTTTTTAATCTTCTGAAGTAATAATTTGATGTCCAAACCAAATTTCTGGGGTTTCAAATGAAGCTAGGTAGACACGATACTGAGAGTTCTTTAATAAGGAATTATTAAACTGCTATTATTTTCTGCAATAACTAATGTATAAGAGAACATTTTATATCTGCGTGGCCTAAGCAATGATTGAGACATGCTAATTTAAGCATATATTCCTTGGAAGTTCCCACATCCTCTGTAACCTTCCTTTCTTCAGTGTGGGAAATCTTTTTCAGGTTTCCAGCCTTCTGCTTAATTTGTCTGTTGCTGTTTATTGCTTTTATATCTAGTGCTTAGTTGCTGTTTTAGTATTGATGAAGTATTCTGCTAGCTACTCTGTGGAATTTTCTTGAAGAGGAGTGTATATGTGTGTATACATATATGTCTGTGTATGTAGATATATAATTATGAATTTGTTCAGAAAGCTGTTACATGTTGGAATATTAAGCACTAGTAAATTTGATTAATTGAGGTGATAGTGGTAGACAGTTGATAGTAGAGCATGTCCATTATTTTTTTTAATGCCTCTAAAATACTTTCTGAGTTTAAACCACTGCATGCATGACAAGTATTTTTAAATTTCATAAACTTATTGATTTTTTTATCTATTAAATCATAGGTATAAACATGTACAATGCAGTAGGTTAGGGGAGTGTGAAATAAAAGCTTTTTTCACTTTACAAATAAAATGACACAACTCTGTACTTTTGAATTTGTAAACCTTGGGTCAGTAGAAACAGTGGAAATAATAGTAGTAATTTAAATTTTTGTGTCTGTGGGGTTTTTTTGTTTGGTTGGTTGGGGTTTTTTGTGGTTTGTTTGTTTTTTGTTTTTTTTTTTTTTTTTTTTTTAATTCTAATCCTACTTAAAGGCAACCTAGACTTTGTGACCAGCATTTCAGGCTTGTATCCATACAGATTCAGGAGATCAAACATACAAAACACAAACACTTTGAAAAAGTACTTGGTATTTTGAGGGTATGTTTTTTAGCACTACAGTGGGTTGGAGATGTACCTCATTTTCAGTATGCAATGCAGGAATATAATGAAATTCAGAATATTTCTGCATTTTCCTGTCTGGTCACCCAGTACAACCAACTACCTGTTCTTAATTTCACACTATACTGATATTAAAAATTACATTTATTTTTTCTGGTGCTCATACTTTGGAAATCTTTATTTTAAAATTTTGATGCTACTACATTGAATCAAAACAACTGAAAGCTAACTATTACTTTAACATTTTTAACAGGCTTTTCCATTCAATAATGAACTTGAAGAAAGTGATAATTGACTCTATTCATATTCTTATTCTAAAGGATAAAGGTGCTTATAATTATGATGCATCAACTCCGTTCCTGAAGATGGTGAGCTACTTTTCTTGATTTTCTTTCAAAAAATAAAATGCAAACTATGTATTTCAAGAATAGTTTGAGTGTTCTGGGAAAAGTTAAAATGAAATTTGCTACTAATACCTACATAATAATCTGCTATTTATCACTGTTCATATTAATTGAAGATATTGGAAAGTTAAAAGTGAAAACTTCAGCAGTTAATGTTGAGAAAACCCCACACATATCAAGTTTTACATTGTGCATCACATAGTAAAACCAAGTGTTCTAATTTTCTTGTGGGCATGAATTTGTTGGTGACATCAGTGATGTGCGTATAAGTGAGTATGTAATGGTATGTAGTCCTGTAATTTGTTTATTAATTAACAATGTAGTAAGAGGAAAATTTCCATCCTGAACACAAGCCTAAGCTGAATTTGAAAGACCATGTCTAAACAAGAAAGTCTGTTTTCCTTAGCTAAAATTATTTGAAACAGGAATCTAGCAATAATACAATCAGCAAGGGATCCCCGCATATTATTTTGAGACTCATTTGAAGGGACACGCTTGCTAATATTGTTTCCTTTCAAAATTCTTGGTTTCTTCACTTTCTGATCAAAAGCTGTCTGCTCTGATAGGTAGGCTTCCTAAAACTACCTGGCTAACTGTGTGCACCTGGAACAGAGAGGAAACTACATGTTTTACTTTCTTTGGGCATAAACATAGCTGGATTAAGACAGTCTATTTTATAAGTATCTCACATATACATTCTGCTATGTTGAATGTAGCGGATGTTTCATGCTTTGAACTCTTCCAGTCACATATATTAAAAAAAAAAAAGTACTTTTAAAATACTTTTTATGAGTTTGATACAAATATATACGTATGTGTGACCGTGGGATTGTGCTGTATGGGTGTGTTCCACAAATACATAATTTTCTCCTGGTTAGGCTAACGTAATGAATGTGCAACTTCATAAATTAAGAATATTTTGAAGTCATTCATGGAATGCAGTTTTCACTTCTGCTCTGAATCATATTGGAGAATGTTGTGGTGTTACATTTTACTAAACTTTCATTGTTCCTGTTTGTTATAAGTCTGGATTATAGAAGTACCAATTGCTGTTTAAACTGTATATTGCCTAGGAGCATACTAAGTCAGACCCACTATTTTATTAGCACTGTGAAAGCAGAAATCAAAAAGGATGCTCTTATTTCAGTGAATTTGTTCTATCTATATAAAACAAACAAAAATGTGATTACAGAAGTAGATCATGATTTATCTGTATAATGTAGAGCAACTCCAGCATATCATAAACAAAATAAATGAAGACTAAATTTACAGCAAGAGAAAGTTAATCAAAATATTATATGTATTTGATAAGTTTGAAGGAATTAGGGGTTTATGATCTCTTGATTGCAAATGTGAAAACATGGGGACAACAATTTGGTAATGGTATCTAATAAGAGGCTTTTAATGAAAGCAAAGTTGTTTCAAGGAATTGGTCTAACTGAGCTTTTTCCTTTTGTCAGTCAGAAGTACCTAGTTTGTAAACCTTTGTGGTTCATCGTTCTGTGTAATGTGCTAAAATAGCCTTCTCTCTGGTGTGGCTAGCATGGTTTTGTACTTTATGAAGTTCATGTAGTGAACAAAGCTCATATGTTAAACATTTAAGTGTATTCAAAAGCAAATTCAAAGATGTTCTCTTGTAGGATGATGTTCAGTCTTCCCAAGATTCTTTGCCACACAAGACCGTTATAAAGCTGACATCGCAGCCGAGGTAAGTAATCTACATATTACTTCATGTCTGAGATTCTTCTAGTAGTGTGTGTTTTCACTACCAAGTAGATTTTTATGCCATTTCTTCTTTTTTTTTTTGTCTTTCACTCAAAATAAAGGTAAAATTTTTTGAAAAACAATGTTGAAAAGATTTGAGATTAAAAGGTAGTCTGGCATATGATGCTAATACTATGTTGTCTAGTTGAAAGACGATGCAGCACTTCATAGAAGTTTCTCACATACCACTAATTCAGCTGTAGCAAATAAAGTAGTATATTTACTGTGTGCTTTTACAGCAGTGTAATCCTTAATAAATTATGCCTGAGAGCAGCAGTAGAAAATCCTAATTAAGCATAGTTACAGCTGGCTGAATTAATGCTATGAGCAAAACTTTAGTTTTTGTAATGCCTAAAAATCACAATAAATAAATGCTGAATTGTCTTTAAAATTCAAGTAGAAGATAAAGCAGGACAATGTTTTCTCTTAACTCTAACTTTCCATTATATCAAGAAGGCTTACCTATTCATTCATACGTAGTTCTAGAGTATTCAGTTGAAACTGCCGTGCTGCTATCCCCATGAACATTCATTATCCAACCGGAAAAACATTCATTCAAGGTCAACTAATGCAAAAAAAGTGAATAAGACTGGTGGATATGAGAGCCGCTGTGTGTGTAAGACAAGTAATACGTGGTTTTTGCTTACAGAACAGAATATTTAAGAATCATTTAAAAAGTATGGAATGCTATTTTTGCTGATGATAGTGTTTAATTTCTCTAGTTGTAGCAAGTGGCAAACGAGTAAAATTTACTTGCTTAATTCATGAAGGTGTCAGACTGTACAGCAGACTTAACTGCTATTGTAACAAAAGTTCTAATCAAATTTTTTTTGAAAAATGAGCAAATTTTGGGTTTTGTGAGCTTTGGCAGAAGCTGTCTTCAGTCCTCTAAGGTGAAATGTATTTAATGTATGTGTGTATATGTAGTTTTAATATAAGAAGTCATATGGACATGTATCGGTCTTTTAAAGAGGAGGTTTATTCTATTATTGGAGTGCTAGATAGGTGCTAAAAGATCATCTTAAACTTGCCCCAAATGGTCAAGAACTCAGGTGCCTAGCTATCTATTTAACTAAAATGTTTTACTTTTTGAAAACATCCCCTCAGATAGTGGGAGAGGATTTTATATGTTACATATAAACACTTAGCTGGAGGCAAGTTACAATGTAGGCGTTCTTTGCCATTTGAGGATAGTGTTAAATGCTTTTTCTTTCCTTGCCTAGGCTAGCTGTTGAAATTTCCCCCATGCCTCTTCCATCCCTGATATGCCTTTTCTTTTTCTTCCACTGTTCCACTTATCTCTCTGCAGAATATGCTAAGTAAGTTTTACCTTCTTGGTGTTTATGCATTTCAGACTTTTTTTTCCCCCCCTCTCAGTTGTACATTCATTAGATAGAAATGTCAAGCTCTTTTATTTTAAAATTTATATAATCCTAGCAGCTTTTTGCTGCTGTTTTCTAAAGTTCTCTTACTTTCTAAGAAGATTGGTACATAATTCCTAATTTTAACTGGTCTATTATTGTCAAGATACCATACAGCCGTATAAGATGTCATTCCAAAGACTGCATAATCATAATTACAGGAGATACAACATAGAGGAAAAACCGTGAGGGGGAGGTGAAAGAGAAATATTACAAGGGAATATTGATATTGCTTCCTGAAACCTTTTTTTTTTTTTGTAAATACTTTCTGTTTGAAAACACTTTCAAAGCAATGCTTGAGTGCACACTACTTCATGTATCTTTGTTCTTGAAAAATTTATTTGAATATATGTATGTTAAATTATTTTCTCTCATAAAAACAAGCTTAGTCTTTTTAGGCTTCTAAATTTATCTCTGGTTACAGTCTGAATCTCTACCAATATCACCATTGTGAAAAGTGTTATGTAAGATGGGACAGTAACTTTTGCTTAAATGTAATATGTGAATATTATGATATGCATCTGAGTTTTGCAGGACACCAGTAAAGATGTGAAGTATTAATTTCAGCAGAATCTTAAATTCAACTTGAGAAATTTATCATTTAGGATTACTGTGGTTACCTTCAGAGTCTGAAGTTTCTAAGACAGAAAATGATGCTTTATTTCAAATTTTGGGGCATCAGCAGATTAAAAGTACTCATTCTCATAAAAACTATTATTTGATTATCTTCTATTCATAACAGTCTTTATAGTTCATGTCTGTAGCACGAAATCTCTAGATTTCTTTCTGTTAACATGTTCTAATATACCATTATGTGGTATAGAAATCAAGTAACTCACAAAGTGTTACTTTATTTTAATTGGCTGAATATTTAGCTTTTTGTAGATTTGCACTTTCATGTCAGGATTTTTAAAAATAGCTGTATTGTAAATTGATGAAACTTATTGAAGGCTGGTTCATATCACCATTAAGTTTAGAGGAGCACTGCTGAAGGGGGAAGCTCATAAGATAATGGTGTTCAATTCTGATTAATTACTCCATCATTTTCCTAAGGTTTTTTCTTAGCTTACTGATTTGATACTGTCAATTTCAAATCTAACCTGCTTTTCAACAGGAAAGTAGTTGGTATAGCATTCCTTTGCCTCTCTCTCATCCAGCCTTCCTTTTTGATGTTTTTTAGTAAAACGTTCTCTTCACTGCTTGTGAAAGATGCAGTCAGTAGTGAAAACTGATTGGACAGGAAAACTGAAAACAGACTGAACAGGATTTCAGTACAATTTTATTACATGGGAAAAAAAAGAGAATAGGACACAAAATCTGTCTTTCAGTAGTCATTGTTCTAGTATGAAGTATGAAGCTAGTATGAAGCTTCTAGTATGAAGCTCCAGATTATTGTGTAGTTGAGAACTATCTTTCAAACTGCTTCTAAGTAGGTACCACTTTTAGTAAGTTTGGGTTTTCTCCCACAGCTATGCATCTCTTCTTTGTAGTGCTCTGTTGCCACCTTCTTACGAATCCTCAGTTTCATAAAAAAAGTAGTGTGTTAATTTCAATGAAATAGGAATGTAGAGTATTTTAAATCTCACTGTGGCTATTCCACCTTAGAACAACTAAGTGGTCTTATGACTGGGCTTTTTGAGTACTGAAGTTATGACATACTTAATTACACTAAGCCCCCTTTTAAACGATGGCTGAAGTTGCATGCTTTTTTAAAAAAAAATAGTTACAACTGAAAAACAAAGCTTTCACAAGATAATATCCAACTAGATATGCAACTACTTTTGTCTTGTTCTGAAATGAACAATTACTACAGCGTGTGTTGGAGACAAAGCCTATGAGTGTGCTGATGAATTGGATACTGCGTCATACACAGGAGAGCCCTGTCCTTTGATTCAGTCATTTCTTCATGAGGATATACCGCTGGAGTTCGTACTTCCCAGAGGGCAAAAGACTTGCACTCAATGGACTTGAGACAGAGGAAAGGGTGTTGAACCTCTTGCTCTGCTGCTGAAGGCTATGTCAACAGTGTGAGTGGCAGGATTTCCTAGCTGTTTTCCATCTACAGTATTTCCTGGAGACACAGCACTGCAGGGGAATGTGATACAGGACCGAAGAACTGAATTGGCTGTACTAACTTGGATTTTGTAGTAATATTGTTTGGCATAATGTGATGATCCTAGGAGTGAATGAGACCTAACAGTATCAATCATGCTTTTTTTTTTTGTTCTATTGCCCACCGCTCCCACTCTGACCCTTTATGTAGCTGGTCAGGGAGTTCAGTACTGAGCTCCTTTGAACACTACAAGTATGGTGTAGGGCATCCTGTCTGAACTGATGATACTGTGATATTGAAAGATTTTGAAAACTCATTGATTTAGGATTTTTTTCTTTTTCAACAATACTTATAATCTGCCCACAAATTACTTTTGTCAGCTAATCATAAAGGGATGGTACGATACCTTTCTTATCAGGCTAGTTTAATAGCTTTGCAGACACATCTTCCACTAGTTGAAATATTCAGGTTGCCTAGGGGATTAATTCTGAATAGGAGGGGATTAATTCTGAGTAGGATACACAGTAATCAATGATTTCTTGAAAGATCTGTCAAAGCACCAAGCAGTTTAGTGACATTAACCTTATAAAGAAAGAATCGTTTTTCCAGATAGAAGATACAAAATAATCTGGGCTATTATCCTTACTTCAGGCAGGTTTTTGCATAAAGTTGTAATTAATAAAGTTTTGGTGTAAGTTGTGTTCATGCTGTTAGGTCCAAAATCTGTGATCTTTTTTGAGAAAGAAAATTTTGGTTTTGAAAGTCAGTTTTGTCTCAACACAGCACTATATTGCAGAAACTAAAGCTACGTTATTTAGTTTAATGTGTGATAAAGAGGTACAAAGGTCAAAAATTCTTGGCAGACTAGTGTGTATGTTACTCTCTTTGGTTGGAAGGAGACAGCAAGGATAACTTGCCTGAGAAGGAAACTTTTTCAATGTGATAAGCCAAAAAGGAAAACTGTCTTGATGATGTAAGTAATCGATTAAACTTCACACCGAAGGAACTCTATCTTTGTGAGCTTAGAAGCTGACTGGATTGGGGAAATGTTTTAATGTTGTCATGTGGCAACTTTAACTTTAGTGGTGGGTTTTTGTTTTTGTTTTTTTTTTTTTTTGACCTGTGCTGCTCATGGTAGTGCAGTCAATCTGGATGGTTGTCCAATGTAGTTACAAGGAGAGGATGCTCCAACAGCATTTGACATTTTAATAATATAAATTTTAATTATCTTTTGTGCTTGCATGAGCAGCCTTCCAGTACCTGAAGGGGGCCTACAAGGAAGGTGGGAGGGGACTTTTTACAAGGGCCTGTAGTGACAGGACAAGGGGTAACGGGTTTAAATTGAAAGCGGGGAGGTTTAGATTGGATATCAGGAAGAAGTTCTTCCCGGAGAGGGTGGTGAGGCACTGGAACAGGTTGCCCAGAGAAGCTGTGGACGCCCCATCCCTGGAAGTGTTCAAGGCCAGGCTG